TGGTCATCATCAGCCTGTGGTGTTCTTTCATGAATTTCCATTTAGTCTCTGCAGTGTTTACTATATATAGGAAACTGCAGGGGGAAGTTGATCAGAGTTTGGTGCCAGGGGTATGCTGGGGACATCAAACTCTATCAATCCTTCCATCTAAATGTAAGGAAGCTGTTCTGATTCAGATTTAGAGTCTAATGTCAGAAATGGATTGAATAGCAAAAAAAACCAGTTTGATCAGTTTAAGGCAAATTAGGGAATAGGAATTTATTATGAGTGTAGGTACATTATTCTTGAAGCTCAGTGTCTGCAGTCTGAATGTACTCCCGAATTCAATCCTAAAGCAGGATGCTCAGGTTTTGATAACAGCCAAGGGTAAATTTGCACTGCATATATGGTTAGAGTGGAACACACCTCAGGTTTCTCCCATGTAATACAAGTAATGGTAGTAAGGATAATGAGCGTGAGGATGATGTCGCCTCGTGTCAATGGCAGCTCTCCCATGGTTTTCAAGACACAGAGTACTCAGCAGTAGTTGTACAAGTCCCTCGTTTCACTGGTATTCTGGGAATGTGCACCATACATTTTTACAGTTAGGTATACCATTCCTCCAAGGAGCTTCCCAATTGTATTCTCTCAATATTCCTGTGAGGTAGGGTAGACTGAGAGAGAACAGCTGGCCTAAGGTCCCTGATCAAGCTTTCTTGGCTGAGGAAATTTTGATTGTCACAGTAAACTAAATTTTGCATAATAAGTAAAGATAGGGAGCTATATTTTGTTTGTACAGTGGTGCCTCGCTTAGCGATCGCTCCATGCAGTGATGAAATCGCTTAGCAATGGACTTTTTGCCATCGCCAGAGCGATCGCTTAGCGATGGCCCCTATGGGTAAAAATTGCTCGTGCAGTTCCAAAATGGCTGTCGGAAAAACAAAATGGCGACTGCTGTTTTGCCTCGCTTTAGAGGCACCCAAAATGGCCACCGCTATGAAGGATTTTTGCTTACAGGTAAGTTTTTAGCCCATAGGAACGCCTTAAACGCATTTTGATGTGTTCCTATGGGCTTTTTAAAATCGCTTAGCAATTACATCGTTTAGCGATATTTTTTCCTGCACAGATTAACGTCGCTAAACGAGGCACCACTGTATTATGAAAAACAATAAGCTAGAATTTGGATTTTTCTTCCTTATTACTGCCTTTTGTAGAGTAATGTCAGGAAATATCCTCATGGTGTCCATTTTGACTTGGAATTCTAATTCTGCAAACAGGTACATCAGTGGTGCATTTGCTTGTTGCGAAAGTTCCTGTTTGTGTAAGTGCTCTCATTAGGCTAAAGTTATTCTAATCTGCCTATCATCAGATTGTATTAGAATCTGATAATGGGAACAGAAAATCAACAGAAGCTATCAATAATAAATGTCACCCCTTATTAATGTGCATAAATTACTGTCAGTTGTACAGCATCTAAACTGGACAAATTTCCAAAAGACTTACAATTTTAAAGAATACTTAATCTTAAAATAGAATTTAAAATTGCTTAAGCGTCATTTATGTTCTCACAGGGACTTCTGGCATGCAAAAGTGTAGCACATCATGGTACCATCCAAGCCAAGGAACAAATAAGTTATTTTCCCAAAAAAAGGAGACTGTGGAATATCTAAAATGGTGGCTCCATTTCCACAAATCTCTAGCTCTACCCAACCAAGAATTGTCTCAGATGTACTGTTTGGATTCTATATGGCTGATTGATATATCTTAGAAAGAAGAGTCTTGGTTGTTGTACAGCCCCTGTTAGTTGTTGATAGTATCAACAGAGAGCCACAACCACCACTATCCCACCGGCCATGATCACTGAGGCTGATGGGAGTCTGGAGAGCAGAGGTTCCTCAGATTTAAACCCTGTGTCTTCAATTTTGATCACATGTTCTAGCTCATTCACTTTTTATTCTCACACTACTGCGTTACCTAGTGACAGAAAGGAAAGACATAAAAACAGCAGAACAGTTGCTCTACCTGAATGACTGCTATTTATCAACTGCATTAAATAAGTATCCCATCAAAATTCATTTAGACAGCTTGCACATTGTATTTATATGGCTGCTGAATTGGCAAAGAAAATCAGTTGCCATGCCATATTAATATCACTGACTATTGAAAAGGGGTAGTGATAGTAGGAGAGCCATGAAGAGAATTTTATTGTTTGTTTTGCTTTGTTTTTGTAAGTGGAGAAATAATCTTTGTGATCTCATGGGCAAAGGCTGAGACAATATATACAGGAAAATATGAGACTGCTTTAGACTGAGCAAGGCTACTGGATTCCCCAGGCCAATATAGCTTCAGGTGACTAGTAGCAGTTCAGTGGGGCTCCTGAGAGGGGCACTGCCCAATGCTGCACTCCCCCCTCCACACAAACACACACACACCCCAACACCAAGGAGTTAGGAGACCTTGGAAGTAGATCTGTGGAGGAGATAGAAAAGTGAATTCCTACTGCAGAAGTGAAACTCTGGACAACAGTGGAAGCTGGTCCATGAGTTCTAAGTGTCTTGCTTTTCTATAACACAGATCTTTATAATAATGGCTGCAAATATTAATGGACAGCTGTCTTCTCCTACGTTGGATGATTTGGACTTCCAAAGCCAGTATCCTGTTGCAAGTGAGAAGATCCACTGAATCTGTTGTTGAATGATAGATAAGTCAACGGTTAACATCATTGAGTCTTCTGTAGTTTGGATTACTGACCCCTGAGGTTAGAGGAAGTAACAGTGGTCTTGGATGTTTTCTCAAAAAAGTTACGCTTTTTAAACAAGTTTCAAAGATTTGTATCATTCAAAAACTGAAAATACGACTTTAAAAAAATCTGGGTGGGGTCTAGTTTAGATTTTCTTTCATTATCCCATCCTACTGCTTTTTATTGATGTTACATTAATTGATTCATTGTTATGTTTTAGGGTTCTAAAAATATTTCATAGTGTCTTTTTCTATAGGCTCCCTTTAATAATACCCATTAGAATCTGCTTGAAATGAGTGAAAAATACAAACAGTATCTAAAGATCAGCAAAAGCATATCAGCATCAGAATAACTGGCATCTCGATAATAAAATACTTTAAAAAATGAAAATGTCACCATTTCCCATTCACCGTCAAAAGGACAAGAGAGGGAAGTAAGTGCCCATGCTCGCAATTCTAGCATGCAGGAGATCATTCTATTCATTGGATTAGGTCTACGACAGGAAATGCCCCATTTCTTCTGCAGATGAACCCAGCCTCCATGGAAATGTAACAACCCTACACACTTACATAGCCACAGCAGTTTGAAAGTCATCTGGGTGCAGTTTGAAAGTCGTCTGGGCGGAAGTGTCACATTTTCAAAAATGGAGGGAAGAGGTGTTTTTTCACTTTCTTGGAAAATGTGAAGATTCTAGAAGCAGTAGTACTTTTTTCAGGGGCAGGAGGGCAGGCTGCATGCTACCAATCCAAGCAAATGCGTGTGGGTTTTGTTTTTGTTTTTTTGTGCTCTGAAATGATTAGCTATTCTCTGTTCACAGTTGTGGAACTAAAACTTGCCTATCAAGACCAGGTTGCATCCATGCGTCCATTTCTTATGTCTGCTAGCTTGCTAGGAACCTTGCAGGTTACTCTGATGTCACTTTGCCTACTATCCGTATTATTCTTTAAAAACTCAGCTTCAGCTAAGCTCTTCAAAAAAGTGATTCACCCCCAAAGGGATTCAGCTGTGCTCTTTGTGTTAAGTATGTGCTTAAGAGGAATGCTGAGTCAAATGCCTTGACTCTGCCCTACCAAAGCCGCTATACTTATACACAGCGGGTTATGTAAGATACCTTAAGGCTCAATTAGATGTACCAGGGTGAAGCAGCAGAGCATGTGAGCCTATACTAGGGTGTCACTGCTGGTATAAAGGAACAGCTTACCCTTCTGCACAGATAACTTCTGCTTTTGCTTCTTGTGCTGAGTACAATAGCAGTTACTGATTCTGTTACACCCATATTCAGTGAAAAGCACCCTCACAGGAGTGAGGGGGGCAACATTTGTGCAGTAGTTCTTGGAGAGGCATCTTATGCACTCCTGCTTCTGTGGTTGCAACAGTTTGGGGGGAAAAAACGAGAATGTGTAAGCTGTGTAGGTACTGCTAATGCTGGATGTTTTATCTCCCCTGTAAACAGTGTGTATATATGAAGGTATAGGAGTATATGAATGAGACATTTACTATTATTATAATGCAATAGGTACATATGAAGGTATAGGAGTTTATGAATAAGACATTTACTATTATCATAATGTAATAGGTATTGTTCTGTTATGCACTTTTGAATGGATTTATAAATAATAAAAAAGAATTTTAAAAATTATCTCCCCCTTTTGTCAAATAAGTCAAGAATTGTGATCAACTGCAAGGAGGTGGAAAGACTCTGGGTGTGTGGGATCTATTTTGGCGCAACAACCAAAGCTTGAGATGTATTCTGATTGACAGCCCTTCAGGTTTTTGGAGATGGTTACTATGTCACCTCTCAGTTTTCTCTTCACCATAGTAAACATACTCAACTCCCTCAAGCCATTCTTCATGGGGCTTAGTTTCCAGAGTCTTTATCATCTTGGTCACCCTCCTCTTGATAATCTGTAGCTTCCTTGATAATCTCTTCCTGGTATGTTCCTAATTGTGTTTTAAATTTTGAATGATTTTATTCATTTGTGCTCTAATATGTATTTGTATTTTCTAATTGTAAGTCATCTTGAGTTTCATTCATGGAAGAAATGGGATATAAAGTAATTAGGTAAATGAACAATGAGGCATTGCAAACCGTGGTAGACCCAGTTTGCCTGATTGTAGAAGTGTGGTTCTCAGACCTGGACCTTCCAGCTGTTTTTGACTTCAGCTCCCAGATTGACGGCGAGGGTTACTGGGAATTGATTGCTGAAAGGGGCTGAAGGGACAAAGAGTGAGAACCATTGCAGAGTATTTACCTACGAAAGGAACTTTAGTGGTGAGGTACATTACATATAAAGAAATGAAACAGAAGAGCAATCAAAGGCAAATCCTATGGCAAGGGGGGGGAATCAACAGCAGCAAACAGTGGTGGGAAGGAGAAGCTGATGGTACAACAGTCATATTTAAGGTAAGCATGTCTCCTTATAGAATATCACAATGAAATAATATAGGATTCAAACCTTTTATTTTCAATTCCTTGGAAGAAGGGTGGGGAACAAATGTCACAATTAAATACTGTAAAAGTATTGAAAATCGCCGTCATCCTCACGTGCCATCAAGTCAATGCTAACTTACGGTGGCTCTTTTCATGGTTTCCCAGATAGAGAATACTTAGAGGTGGCTTACCAATCCCTTCTTCTTGGGCTGTGCAGGCCCCACAGGCTGACTCTACTTGCAAGACTTAGAGGTGGCTTACCAATCCCTTCTTCTGGGTGTGCCCTTGGGCTGTGCAGGCCACACAGGCTGACTCTGCTTGCAAGAGGCACCGTGGAGAATGGAACTCCCAGCCTCTGTCTCTGCAACCAGATACCTAAACCAGTGAGCTATGAAGAGCCAATACAGTGCAGTGGATAAAGTATCAGACTAGAACCCATGAGATACAGGTTCAGATTTCTGCTTGGCTGTGGTAATTCACTGGAAGTGCCTCTGTCTCTGCAATCGCAATGACTAGATAGGCGGGGTATAAATGAAATAAATGAATGAATGAATGAATAAATGAATAAATAAGATAGCAGTGGTAAACTACCCCCTGAACATCTCACATACCTCAAAAACATTGTTTAGGGTCACCATAATCAAGAAGTAACTTGATAGAGCATAATACAATCAGTTGCTCAGTCCTTAATTTTCCTTGGCACTTTCCTTGACATCCTAATAGTAACATAGAAGTGCCTGAGAACAAATATTGTGAAGCTTAGAAGCTCAAGTACAAGGGGTCTCTATCGCTCCTTGTCATGCCAGAATGCCTCACACCATTTTGTCTTTTATCTCTTAGACAGAAAACATTTTCAGTTTATGATACAGCATCTTTTATCTCTTTTGTTCAGGAAACTTGTGCCACTTGCCTCTCCTGTTTTTTCCCCCCACACTGTCAAATGGTTTCACTTCAGAGTATGTCGTGAATATCATGCTCAACTCCTCCCTCCTTTTACTTTTCATAATGTGGAGTTGCGAATTAAACAATGCTGAAGTGTTTACTCTCTTTAGCTATAAAGGTAGTATCTATAAAAGAGTCTAAAGATGTTTCCAGCAACCTCTCATGTATTTCTTTATAAGTAAATGTTTGTAGGCCACCTCTTACAATAAAACCCTCTCAGGGTGCCTTCAAATATATCGTAAAATTATAGTAGATAAATAACAATACATTTTAAAATCATAAAACATAATTGCAACAGGATTAATATATAGTTGGAAGCAGCAAACATAATACTAAAAGCTGGTAACATGCTACACTCCAAAAACATTATGATCAGATGAATAATTATGCCTAAAACCACATACTGTGCAGCATGGAGAAGGCAGTGGTAAACAAAAGTCTTCAGAGCCAATTTAAAGACTTTAATGATGGCGGGAACAGATGCATTTCTACTTCCATTGGATCATAATACCATAAATGAGGGAGGCACTACTGGAAAGCCCTTTTTGCCCCTCATGTCCATTGCTCTGATAACTGCTGCAGGCAGGTGTATAAAGTAGGTCCTCAGAGAGCTGAGTACACATGTGCTTCTTTCACAGAGCTATCCATCCAGATTTTGCACAGTTGCATGTCAGAGACATCAGACACACAGAGCTGTGCTATCTCCTGACTGACCCATTATAATGCAAAAGGAAATTTAATTTATGAAACAGGGAATGAGGCAGGCTCTCATTAGAATAAGCTGATAGGCTTTTCCTCTCCAGGGTGCAGAACTTGACATCAGACACACAGAGCTGTGCTATCTCTTGACTGACCCATTATAATGCACAAGGAAGTTTAATTTATGAAACGGAATGAGGCAGGCTCTTGTTAGAATAAGCAGATAGGCGTTTCCTCTCCAGGGTGCAGAACTGATTTCCCATGAAGCAAGGCCCAGGGGTGTGGGCAGGCTGTTGCAGGTAAAGGTGGACTTTCAGTCACCTGCCTTTGTAAGAGATAGAGCCTCAATTTAAAAGTCAGTACCAGCACATGAATAGGATACAAGAACAGCAAGCAACACCGCTGGTACAATATCTCAGATTTTCAAGAGGCAATTGTGCCACTACAGAAACAGCTGGTTTCGTCATCTCTGATTCTTGACTAAGTATTTCATGGCAGATCTTTCACTTTTCAGTTGCAGACACTAACTGTGGTAAGTTGTAACTTATTACATAATCAGCATTAACTTTACGAATGTTAAAACCCCCTAAACTAAGTAAAAACTTCCACTCAGTGAAAAATATGAGTTTTAATGTCTTGGATGTCAGATTTCTGTGTAATAGTTTTCTTTATTACCCAGTGGATTCACAAAGAACTTTCCATGATTGCACAGAAAGAGTAGGTGACACAGAGATCATGGACTATGGTTTTTATAGCAAAAAAGGATGTACTGTTGAGCCATCATCTTAGCTGCTGTTCAGATCATCATTTGCAGTTCAGTTTGATCAAGCAGAGATGTTCATGGTGCAGCTTCTTCACAATCCTTCATTAATTATATCTCAGTTACAATTATGGGACAATGGCTGGCACTTATCCTGTTACATTGGGCTTTGTTCCAGATGAAGTCCCTGTTGTGAGCTTTGAAAGCCCTTCCCATTCAAGCAGAATGAGAAGGATTCACTTCCACTTACCCAGGTAATCTGTATGCAGATCAAAACTGGACAGTCAGTCAGTTTTCCAAATCTTTAGTGCTAGTATGAGGCAGGTAACTGGCTGTCTCCCGCACTCAGTTGGTGGGCAAATACCAAGCAGCATAGGTATGTGCATACACAGTACAGAGGAATGTGCTTCCAGAACCAGTCCTGTCACTAGGTGGAGTAAGACAGTCACTTTAGATGGCAGAAAAAGGGTCCGATTGTCCCCTTCCATTGGACCACAATTCAGTGTATTCTAAAAAGCTCGCCTTGCACCCTCATGGCAGCCTGTTACCTTTACAAGGAGGCCATCTGTGGCCCAAGGCGAGGCTAGAGGCCATCCTCCCACTCCCTCTTCTTTGCAGGCCTCTTGTGTCCTTAAGTGAGCCCAAGGCGAGGCTAGAGGCCATCCTCCCACCATCCTCCCACTCCCTCTTCTTTGCGGGCCTCTTGTGTCCTCAAGTGAGCTGAAACTGCTGCCCCATCCCTAGCATTGAAGGAAGCTCTTCTTTCAGTCCATCGGCGTCTATAGGTAGAAGGGAAGGACCTCAGCCACTTCCTTCTGAGTTGACCTGTATAGGATGTGTGGTCAGTTTACAAACTTAAGAAATGGATCAACAGTAGGTTTTGCCTGGCCATTAAATAAATAAATAAAAACTGGGGGGTGGTCTTGCATATGACGGCTAATTATGACTGCTAGAAAACAGCTAATACGGCAGGCACGTTGCCCTAAAAGATTGTATATGTTTCCCCGTACAGGTAAATGGATCTGTTTGCTTAGCATCTTCCATGCTGGTTCCCCCCTCCCTCCCCCCTCGTTTTATGTAAATGAGTCAGGTTACTGCTATCCTTGATCAAGAGTCTCTTGGGAAGCCTTGTTGAGCTGAAGGCCTGGATGGCAGAGGGAGGAGGGGGGAGGAGCTTTGATTGAAAGATCTCTTTCTTACCAAAAGCCTGCTTGGATCTCAGTGGGGGATGTTCCACCTGCTCTGTTGTTCTGAAGGAAGCCTCTCCAGGTTTGAGAGTGGTGTTAACAGGCTTTGTTTTCCTCCTAATGAAACAGCTGCACGGAGAAGGTTGTTTTAGACCAACTTAAAAATAACAATGAAAACTATTTCAGAAGTTTATTTTAGATGGTGCTGTTTCCCTCCTCCCCCAGTTTTCCTACCCTTTCTTGAGAATTAATTAATATGGTGCCCACATTTAATACCAGATGGGTTGCTACACATGCACTTCGGCTGTCCTTAGAAGTGACGATACATATAAGTGCTAGGGTTTTAATTAAATATTATTTATATGTCATTAAGGTTTTTATATTACCTTTTAATCATAGTCCCAGGGCAGCTGTCAAGATAGAACAAATAATATAAAATAATAATAATGAATTTGGTTCATAGTTTTGTGTACCTGTCTCTTGCAAGCAGTTTACTCTTTTTGGCATATACTGTGCACATTGGTTATAGGAAGGATGAGGCTTATGTTTCTGTGTTGGCAAGAGGGCACACTAAATATACAGAGAACTGTTCAGATGTTACAGCTTTTAGTAAATCATGCAGTTTACATTCAAAGTTTCCCAAAAATGCTATGTTAAACTCAATGTTATGTTAGTGTGCCATCAAGTCTAAAGCAACTTAACGCAATTTAAATAGAACTTTTAAGAAAATGCTATGTTAAACTCAATGTTATGTTAGTGTGCCATCAAGTCTAAAGCAACTTAATGCAATTTAAATAGAACTTTTAAGTGAGATACTTATTGTGTTTCATTTAGTGGTCATGAGATTAATGCCACTCTTACTAATACCTTGTAGTTCCTGATGCATTTCTAGAACATCTTTTTTTTATCAAGGGATTTTTTTTATTCCTACTGAAACTTCCAAATGATTGCTTGGCATGTGTTTGCTTCTGTCTCTTTCACTAAAAAGTGAAAAATTCCTGCAAGAAAGAATTATTCCCAAAACATATCAGGAACTGCAAGATACTGTGCAGCTCTATTTCTCTTTTTATTTTTATTTTAGCTTCCATAACAGCTCTCTCTCTCTCTCTTTGTGTTGCTAATGCCAACCCTGCCTTGAGACACCTTTCAAGTTACTGTTTAGTAATTGTCTCTCTGTCTCTATCTCTGTCTCTCTGTGTCTGTCTTCCAACTGCTGGGGGTTCCAAAGACACTAACAAGAGAAAACATTAAAACATCCAGAAACATTGTAATGATGCATAGCGATCAGCGTACAAGAACCAGACATCCTTGGAAACTACACACAACTAAAAGCGTTCATCTACAGTGGAGACGTTTACTGTATATATTCATTCCCCACTTTCAACTCAAAATGAAACCCACTAGCCCAAAGCAGGCTTCCTTTGTTCAAATGCCTGAGGAAAAAAAAAAGGTCTTTGGTCTGGTGTTGGACAAATGTTATTGTTGGCACTGTTGAACTTCCTTGAGAAGGATGTTGGGTTAACATGCAACAGCCTGCTTTTGAACTCCTGCATGTGTACCTTGAGCCTTTATTGGGGAGGACACACAAAGGAGAGTCTCAGAGGCAGACCTCAAGGAGGAAAGGGTAAGCCTTGAGATATTGGGGTCCTGAATTAATCTGTAAACAAGAATATATGTCTGTTCCTTGCAAGAAAAACTGTTGTGTGTTTGTTTGTGAGCCAATCCGTGAAACTGTTATGTGGTGGCTAAATTTATTTATCAATTATACATTTATTAAGTATGAAAATGAAAAACAAAAACTTTCATTTACAGTGGTGGGAGAGTGAGGTGCCATTTTCAATTGGTTGTTTGACACCGAGCCTGTCTTTATTTGCTCTAGCTTCACGGGATGCCATCGAGCGACATGGTAAAGCCATTGCTGCGTCATCAAAATGCAGAGAGCGACCCAAACCTTGCCCCCACTTCCAGTAGCAGGACGGTTGGGATTCTAGGAAGTGGTGACTTTGCCCGTTCCTTGTCTATGCGTCTGGTGTGCTCGGGTTTCAAAGTGGTGGTTGGAAGCCGGAACCCGAAGCGCAATGCCAGCCTCTTCCCTTCAGCCGCGGAAGTAACATTCCAGGCAGATGCTGTAAAGAAGACAGACATTATCTTTGTGGCAGTTTTCAGAGAACACTATACCACACTCTGTGATCTTAGCGATGAGCTCTCCGGCAAGATATTGGTGGATGTGAGCAACAACACTGAAATAAACCATCACAAAGAATCAAATGCTGAGTACTTGGCAGCACTTTTCCCAGCATGCACTGTTGTCAAAGGATTTAATGTCATCTCAGCGTGGACGCTACAGTCGGGCCCTAGAGATGGCAATAAGCAGGTATTGTTTCACTGCTTTTATCTGTTGTGTTTGTAGCACTATACCAGGAAATTTCTGAGGGAAAAGAACTGTAATTTGCCCGCAGATGAATGGTTTGCCTGTCTCACAAAGGCAGCTCATAACCTGCTCCATTGCACATCATTTGGAGCTTCGAAGCCCTCAGCATTCTTCCAAATAAAATGGTACATTCTTGGTCCTGTAGTTATGAGAAACATGAACTTTAGGCAGACTGAATTAATGGAATCAGTTAAAATGCATACAACGAAGATTTCTGTAACCAAATGGTATCCTTCACATCTTCTGTGGTGTTACTGGTAGTTTTTTTAGATCATAGAATACAACATATCCTAACATTCATACTGTAGATTTTGCAAGGGTTAGCTTGTTTGTCTTCCGCAGCAAAAACAACAAAGTGTCCCGGAGCACCTTGCAGCCCAACAAGTTTCACACGGCCTAAGCTTTTGTGGACCGTAACCGACTTTATCAGATACAGAACATGTTACTTGAACAGGCAGGTATTTCTGCAGATACTTGGGTGGAAGCAATTATTTTTCCAAACGTTCTAGAAAGCAGGCTTAGTTTTCAGGGGAACAGGAAGCTCATAGGAGCAGACCGACACACACAGTCCAGTTGGTGTGAATCTTGCCTAGCGTGCACCATCTGAACAAACTGGTTTTACTGAGTCAACACTTATGGAAGGCCCCTTGATCCACTGAAGCTGCTTTAACGGGGACTACACGTGGATTCAGGTTACTGATGCAGCTGATTTAGGAATCCTGTGTTATACCCACCAGTCACTATATTATTGCTTGCTAGATTCTCTGGGCCTCGCTCGGATGCTCTCACCCTATACCAGTTTCCTGCACTCCTGGCTTCAGTTTGCTACTCATTCACCTTCTTTTTGTTGCAGGTCTTCCTTTGTAGTGATAACCAAGAAGCCAAACAGGCTGTTTCTGAAATTGCACACAAGCTGGGATTCACCCCCACGGACATGGGGTCATTGTTCTCAGCCCGTGAGATCGAGAACCTTCCCCTGCGCCTCCTCCCAGCCTGGAGGATCCCCGTCTTCTTGGCGCTGGGGCTCTTCTTCTGTTTCTATACCTACAACTTCATCCGGCAGGTGTTGCATCCTTACATTCGGGACAAAAAGAACAAGTTTTACAAGATGCCCGTGGAGGTTGTCAACACCACTCTGCCTTGCGTCGCCTACGTCATGCTGTCCCTCGTCTACCTGCCCGGAGTGCTTGCAGCCATCTTTCAGCTGTACCACTGTACAAAGTACAAGCGTTTCCCAGACTGGCTCGACCAGTGGCTACAACACAGGAAGCAAATCGGCCTCCTGAGCTTCTTCTGTGCCGCTTTGCATGCTGTTTACAGCTTGTGTCTTCCTATGAGACGGTCCCATCGTTACCTGCTACTCAGCGAGGCCGTCAAGCAGGTACTGTACCTCTTGCTCTTGGGCTAGTTTTGAGGGACAGAAGGTTGTTTCAAGGCTCGGTTCAAATGCTGAAAAGAGCTTTCACTAAACCTGTGAGAACAAGAGTACACTAAGGCCATCTTCCTGCACAAAATCTGAGAAATCTGAAGCAGAAGAGCCTATCTAGCCGTGAGGGCACTCCTGGTGAGCCAGAACCCCAAAAATCCAAGTTGTGGCGTATATGGAGAAACTTGATGGATTATTTTAAGCTGTTCAGATTTCTCTCTGAGGGAATGAGGCCTTCTGCCCTCATGTTGATTTAATCTCTTTTTGAATATAAGAACAGAGGAACCTGCCTTATACCAAGCGTGACCATTAGTTCATCTAGCCTAAGTGAATGGCACTTGCTTCTCAAGGTTTCAGGCAGGATTCATTCCTAGCACTATCTAGAAATCCCTGGTATTCCCTGGTGGTCTTCCATCCAATTCACTAGGCCTGACCCACTTAGCTTCCCAAATCAGATGAGATCAGGTGTGTCCATGGTGATATAGCGGTAATGGCTAAATAGGGCTTGTAGGATCAGTGTTTTGACCTCACTGTGCCCAAAATTCCTAGTCCCCCAGGGCAATTCTGTAGGTTGTGACACCCTTATGTCTCTTTAAAAAAAGCTTAAGGTGTTACCTTAACCCTTATTTTTACTGTTTGGAACTGTGAAACTATAGTTATATGTCTGAGGTGGGGTATTCCTTCAGGTATTGGACTGCAGTGTCTTGTCAGCTCTACCTAGTATAACCAATAATGAGGGATGATTAGAATTGGAATTCATCAATATCTGCAGGACAGGCTGGAAAGTTAGTTTAATGGCCAAGTGAAACCTGCGTCTCCCAAACCTGCTTACTTCTCAGTCAGTTATGGCTGCCAGTATCCCCCTCCTATCTGATTGTCATGCCATATTCCACAGCCATCTCTCAATTCCACTTGCATTTCTCTTCTGTGATTCCTGTAAATAAATCTCAAGCAAGTCTTCTCTGCCTTTTTCTCTTTCTTACATGCCGGCCCCCCTCGAGCAACATCCTTGCTTTGTGAATCACATTGATGTAATAGAATAAATGGATGGGGCCTAAGTGTCAGTCTCTGTAATATAGTACAAATCCCATTTCTTTTTTTTCCCATTAGCCCAAACACTTCTCTCCTAAATGCACTTAAAGCAAATCCCATTAAGCCCCTGAGCAGTCAAGGATTCAGAGAGCTGGGCTTGTGGTCGAAGCTGGAAACTGGAGCTGACTTTCCTTGTTCATTGCAGTGTTCAGAGGCAAAACAGAGCCTGAGCTTCCAGGCGCCGAATTATTGGATAGTATCCCAGAGGTCAGAGAGAAGTATCACTGCTCTTTAGCCCCTCTCTCATGGCCATGACTTCAGCCATCATTAGCTGAGCCACGTTCAAGAGTCGCATTTCAGCGTTTCCCGGGCGCTTGCTTTTGTGGACAGGATCTTATATTTGTCCCCTAACTAGCTGCCAGTCTTTTCAAAGACAGCTGTTAGTCTCACATGAGCAGCTAGGGAGCCAATCACTTCTTTAGTGTGATCTCTTCTTCCTAACCCTCCTTGGCATCCAGACAGGCAGGGCCAGCCCGGACATTTTGCTGCCTGAGGCAGAGTAGGAAATGCACACGCGCACACACCTTAAAGTAGCCGACTTATTCTCAGATCTGACACAGAAGATTCAAAAGGTAAATCTTGCTGTCCCTAGCAATAAAATAACAAATGTAATAATTAAGCTTTAGTTACCTGGTTGCAGCAGTCTTGGGACTTCTCTCTCTCTCTCTCTCTCTGTGTGTGTGTGTGTGTGTGTGAGAGAGAGAGAGAGAGAGAGAGAGAGAGAGAGAGAGAGAGAGAGAGAGAGAGAGAGAGAGAGAGAGAGAGAGAGAGAGAGAGAGAGAGAGAGAGAGAGAGAGAGAGAGAGAGAGAGAGAGAGAGAGAGAGAGAGAGAGAGAGAGAGAGAGAGAGAGAGAGAGAGAGAGAGAGAGAGAGAGAGAGAGAGAGAGAGAGAGAGAGAGAGAGAGAGAGAGAGAGAGAGAGAGAGAGGCTTTCCTGTTCCCTCTGAGCTTAGGTACACTTGTCAAGTAGCTGCACAAAAAATAGATTTTTCTGGGGACTGTGTATTATAGGAAGCTATCTTTCTTGTAATGCAAAATATTTTAGTGTGATTTCCTTAAATGGGCATTAACTTTAAAAAAAAGAAGAAGCTGTTCCTCATTTCTGCATCCAGACCCACCTGGCACTCTCAGTTTTTCAACTCTCATACGGATGGGTTGGCTATGAGGAGTGTCATAATAAGCTGTTGTTGGTCATACGACACCCACATTCAACTATTTGAGGCGACTGTCTCACTTTCACTAAAGGTTTGCACCAGTGCTGTCACTGCTGACTGCCAGTTCTGCTAGCAGGGTGCAACTGAGCATGATTTGGGGAGTCACAGTCCCAAAACAGACAGTTTCACAAGTGGTTGCTGGTGAAACTGCAATGGACCAGGAAGGGAAGGAGTCGGTCCAGAGACTGCTGGTGGTTGCATTAAATCATTAGCTGAGCCCCAAGCTAAGGTTATAAAGCTGAAGATGAGACAAATATGTTCCAAGTCCTGGAACACCTTTGTGGGAAACAGTGCATTCACAGACTCTTTCCAAAATGTGAATGCAAGCTGAATTGAAACATGGGACTTATTCAGGCAGGTTGTTTCTAAACCTAATGTAGTTGAATAAGAGAGTCGTGCTCAACCAACATGAAGCAAAGAAACTGCCCACTAGCTAAGTGTAGAAGAAGGTTTGTTTTAGAACAGAGTACAAAGAAACATAACATAAAGACTAATGTACTGCAGTGACAGCCTTGGTACCAACTCATTCTGTCCTTGGTATGGGTAGAGAAGGGGACAGAAGTACTGTAGCCAGCAGCCCAGTTTAAGCACGTAGATTAAAGTAGACGTCAATAATGGTCTGAATTAAACTGATTAATCAATACAGTCTCTGTCAAACAGTTCAGACAGCTGTCAAATAGGATGGCCGTCAGTCACAAGTCCATGTAGTGTCAGCAAAGTGAAGAGAATACAGTGGTGCCTCGCTTTACGATTGCCCCACATTATGATGAAACCGCATTATGATGATCTTTTTGCGATCACAATTGAGATTGCAAAACGATGGTCTGAATGGGTTTTTTTCATTTTGCGATGATCGGTTCCCTGCTTCGGGAACCGATTCTTCACAAAACAACGATTTTCCTACTGCTGATCGGCGGTTTCAAAATGGCCGCCGGGTAAGTAAAATGGCTCCCCGCTGTTTTCTGGGACGGATTCCTCACAAGACAGCCACCAAAAATGGCCACCCTATGGAGGATCTTCACTGGACTGTGAGTTTCCAGCCCATTGGAACGCATTGAAGGGGTTTCAGTGCGTTTCAATGGGCTTTTTATTTTCGCATTACAACATTTTCGTTCTACATCGATTTTGCTGGAACAAATTAAAGTCGTAATGCGAGGCACCACTGTATTGGTTCATTCCGCCCGCCTTTGTCCTTATTCCCTCAGGTGGAGAAGAAAACGGATGCCTGGGTAGAGGAGGAGGTCTGGAGGATGGAGATCTACATTTCATTTGGTATCATGGCCCTGGGCTTGCTCTCCTTACTTGCCATTACTTCGCTTCCTTCCATCGCCAACTCTCTCAACTGGAGGGAATTCAGTTTCATTCAGGTAAGCACTGTGTCTGAGGGCCTTCTCGAGATAGGGCGATGGCCCTTGAAACCCACATTCTTAGGTGCCAACCATTCATGATGGAGCCACCCTTCGCCTAGCCACTTTTATTGATAACATCACTTTATCTGTGCAAGGAGCACACAACCCTTCCACCTCTTGTACCTTCCTAACTTGCAAGTTGTTACTCCAGTAACGGCTATTTCCAATACTAAAAGTGGACCGAAAAGAGAAGAAAATAAGTGGCACAAAGAACTAAGGGGGATATAAGATTCTTGGGGAGCGCAGGAAAAGACTGAGCACTTTTCCTCCCACACTCTGCCCACTCCCTTATGTGTCAGCAGAAAAGGGCCATCCGTAGCACATCTAGTTTGGCCTCCTGACACAGCCTGTTTCTAGGAGGGCAGCTTTATTAGTCTGTTCTAGTAAAAACTGCAAGGCATCTTAAAAATTAGCAGGCAGAAAAAGAGAGTGACAATATATGTGTGTCGGTTCCTCAGACACATAAAGTTGCAGCCGTTGGCCCAGGGCGGGTGATGTTAAAAGATTCTTATAGCAATGTGTAGTTGGAGGAGTGAGGAGGTTGAGAAACGGATAAGACAATTAGCCCTGTTATGATTGCCTAGACCAGTGACGGCAAACCTTTTTGGGCCCGAATGCCCAAGCTCGGGGGGGGGGG